CTAAAAGCTTAACCAGGCATTTTTATTGAATCAAGAGCAAACTTTCTTTCCATAAGTGTCCAAGTCCGTAATATGTGTTAGTGATGTTTGGCTATGGGAGGCTTAGTAAAATACTCTTGCCTCTAGTATAGTGTGTAACTAGAGCCGTATGACCTAGAAAGGACCTTGACTTTCTACTGTCATACATGTCTGCCTTTTTTTCCATTAAACTTTTTGCTGTCAGAGTCAGATTTCATTAAGGAATATGACTCCGAATAACTTTGTTTTACTAACTTTATCCAAGTTATGAACTATACTGCCGTAGTATAAACTATAGCGCTGAAGATTTGTTTCGAAGGAAGTAAATTCAGTAAGTAAGCATTTTGTAGCTTCACCTATCAGCCAAATGCACATTCATAAGTGACATCATTATGAGAAATCCCCTTTGCACGCAAAAAAAAAAAATAAAATAAAAATGAAGCAAATAAAACTTTGGCGGCACCAAACAAGGTAAAAACAAGGTTGTTAGACCAGCTCATCGCCAAAATTAAATAAAAATAAATTGTAACGCCCGAAAAATGAAACGAAAACAAACAGTAAGAAAAACAATGATCAGCTGACTAAGAAAAAGCATAAATAAGATAATTTGTTTGATATGTATTTTCGCTAGTTTGTTTGATCGAAGTTGAAATTCATTTAAAGGTGATTTAATTTCACTTCTTTAATGTATGTATACTACCTATTGTTACAATTGGAAATAAAGTTCACCGTTTTTTTTACCAATTTGTCTTTCAGCAGGGCCATTCAACAATAAACGACTCTTCTAGGGGAGGGCAAGGCGCATCAATACAAGGTGGGTGGTGTTGATTGATGGATGCGCCTTGGGGGAGGGTGTGTTTGTTGTATATGTACGTGCGTCGTTAAAGAACACAAAAGTCGAGATTTGTACAAGTGCACCTAAAGCAAGGCGCACCTAAAATAGACGTTTCTGCACAGAACAAGAATAAAATAAGTGCAAAAAATGGGGAATCAAGTCGAAGAAACTGGTTTTTGATAGCAAACAAAAGTGAAAAATGAATATATCACAACAATGAGACAGTGGCTGACTTACATATGTATGCAGCTCCAAGTATATCGTAACTCTACCTACAGATACATATTTCAACCACTAGTTCATAAAGCAGCGACTGCTTATAACAATTTGACTTTTATTTTTCCTATGTAAATAAATGCTTTATCCAAATTGTTTACTTTGCTATTCGCCGTTTATAAATTTGCTCTTTCAAGGCCTTCGGTTATTGTCAAACATTGGTAGCAATTGCTTTGGTATTTATGCAATTTCAATGGCGCGGAGGACCTTGTAAATTTTTTCTTATCATTGCAACATTTTTGTTTTTAATAATCAAATGGCACTTACGTAAAATCCTGATTGAAATTCAGTTGATATCCTGAAGCAGCCATAATTTTTTCTGCTTGGTTTTGCCCTTTTCAGATGAAAACAAGAAATACGACAATTGAAGGTATTGCTGAGGAGCCGCTGTTGGTACTTTAACCAAATTATTCAACTTTATTGCACTTTCACTTTTTCCACGATTTTTTTTTATGAAATCGCGTCAATTGCTTTGCATGAAAAATGTGTTATGCGTATTATTAATGTTGTATTTTTCCCTGCACTGCAATAAAATTTTCTGTATTTGGAAGTTCTGTAGTCACTGCTTCTTTATTCACTTCTATCGTATTTCTATTTTGTCGCAATTCGTAGTTTCTTTATTATTGCTATTTGGAATGTAATGTATATTTTATAATCCCCTTTTGCGTTTTATACACTTGTGTATTGCTATTGCTTCGCTTGAAAAAAATTTGCTACCACTTTGTCGCTGAACGCTTTTGTTTCTGATTTTGTAAATTGTTGATTTTCGTTCGATTATTGTTCATTCCATTTTGCAGTACTCTTCTCTTTCTTCCAATTTGTTTTGAATTAATTAGTTATTTTCTTTGCTTCTCTTTTTTAGTGTCGTGAAAGGCCCTACACACGGTTCGATTTATCGGACAATCAGTTGGCCAACCGCTAGAAGTTGGTGGTAAATAAGCCGTGTGTAGGCAAGTTGGCAAGCCTTCGTCAAGTTGTTCGTTTATTATAATTATGTTTATTCTTGTCCGATGAAAACAAAACGTATGCGAATTCATATACAAATGCATAGATTTTATAGTAGACTTATGCAATTTGTATATAATAAACATTAGTTTTGTTAATATGCGGCCACAAACACACTTTATCCACCAAATGGCTCTAAACATAAGTCCCCTTTCAGACACGTCAAGTCTTGCTTTCAAGTCTGCTCGTTCGTTGGCGAAGGAGGTGGGAAGAGTACAGATACCTCCGTACCGTCAATTCGTTTCAAGTTTTCTTGTCTCTTTTCATATTTTCGTTGCTTCCCATTTAAGAACCAAGGACTTGAATTCAATTAAAGTTGATGCGTGCAGAGAACGTTTAATACAGAGAAGCAGCAATTACGAATAGCCGTGTGAATTGTCAAACACTACCAAAATCGCTCTAGAAGCTCACCACTCGAATCGAAAATTGAGGGCGGCAAATTAACAGATCTGAGGGGAAAGTTAACAGAGCTGAGCGGAGATACAATTTTGTTAATTTCATGAAAAAAAATTCTAAAAAAAATCAACGGTAATTTTCAATGACTAGAAACTTGCACTTTAGTGTACTTCATTGAATGGGCTACAAAGCTGCATACCTGAAAATTTTCTAAATTTCAAATTAAAAATTTTGAAATCTTGATAACAATTTTTTGAAATTTTATTAATTTTTATGCAATTTGTGCAAGCTTTTAAACTTTTATTATTGTGGTTTCTGTTATAGATTGAATTCTATTTTAAAGGAAATTATTAAAAATAAATAAATAAACACAATTCGCAAACAATATCATTTTGAATTTCGTTGCTAATTAGTTTATCGCATCTGTGTGTACTACAAGCATCCATATGCGCATGCCTAATAGGAAGAAAGTTAGTTGCAGCTTTTTTCACAGATTATTCCACTGAAAATGATGTGAAAAAGCTGTAACTAACTTTAGTGTCAACTTTATTTTGACCATGAATAAGCCCCATTATTTACATGTAATACGAGTATTACAGTGAAAAATCATCATTCAACACATTGGTCCGTATGCACCTTTCACTTAAATTTATTCGAACAAATCGAGTTAAAGGTCTGAGATTTTAAGAAAGAGCAATTGCTTAGGTTATATACATATAGCACATTTTCTCGAAATAAATGTTCATAAAACTCAAACATAACTTTTCGAGAAAAACCACTTTGCAATTGATGCTTTTGTACGTTTTTGTCAATGTATCCATCTTTGAAGTGAATTTACTAGCAAGAAAACTGCGGTTTGTTGCATTGAAAGCAGCGTAGCAATCGTTAAAAAATAACAACTGATTTTTTCTTCGCTTTTAAATGCCGACAACAAATTACCAAAGAGTACGCATTTGTAGGCTTTTTTTTGTCAATGTGTCTATCTTTAAAGTGAATTTGGGAAAAAACTAAAGCACCTAGCAAACTGCGGTTTGTTGCATTGCAAATAGCGTAGCGTAAGAATCGTTAAAAAAAAACGATTTTTTCGACCCAAATGCCGACGGCAATTCACCAATGAGTTTGCATATTTGCATAGATTTCACATATTTATTAAATAACAAATCTACTTTTTGGAGTTAAAGCATTCCCTGGCATATATCTTCGAAAATAAATTTTCATTAATTTAACCAAGAATTTTCATCTTTTTTTTTATTAAATCAATGCCGCGAAAACGAAAATCCAAACCAAAGAACTTAACATTGATACAAATTAACAAAATTGTATCTCCGCTCAGCTCTGTTAACTTGCCGCTGAGATCTGTTAATTTGCCGCTCTCAATTTTCGATTCGAGTGGTGAGCTTCTATTGCGTTTTTGGTAGTGTTTGACAATTCACACGGCTATTCGTAATTGCTGCTTCTCTGTATTAACCCTGCAAAAATCGTGACTACTCCATGCATGCGTGTAAAGAGTACTCCAAAATTAACCACAATTCATATACAAAATATGGTCCAATTAACATTGCGATGTCCTAGGGCAGGACCATATACTCCATCCCTGCATTACATCAGAGTAGCACGAAACTACTGCAACATATTAACAATGGCATTGTTGTTATATTTTTTCGTTTGTACACGCTTTTGTTCTTCACTTCTCAAATGCTTTTTCGAAATTAATAAAAACCAAGACAAAAATTAAAAATTACATGTTGCCTCTGACGTCAGTCGAACCAGAACATGCTGGGAGCTAAGAACTAACAGCGATCATCTCTACACGTTCAGCTACAGCCAGACATGCAAATGTGTTTTCAAATGCTCAACTTCAATCACATTTCGTTAAAACACGAGCAGTTATCGGATAACAAACAATAAGCTGGCGCAGAGACACGAGTTGGTCCGGTACAGCATGACAGAGGAACACTTTTGTAAGTATTCCAATTTACCACAAATAGACTACATGGTCCAACGATTTTTGCAGGGAAACGTTCTCTGGTTATTGCTTATGTCTTAAGCTGCCTTTAAAATAAGCAATTTTTTGACAGCCACTTTGAGACAAGCGATTTTTCCAGAGCAATGTTGAATCGCCGGGAAAATCGCCTCATGTAAAGGCAGCTTAAAGTGTAAATAGTGATTCAAAAATCGCTTGCCTCAAAGTAGAGAGCAAGTCGACTTTTGCATGCGATTATCCTTTGTGAAAAAATCGCCTCATGTAAAGGCAGCTTTATTGTCAACTTGCATTTCAAAAACTGTTTATCGCCCTGTACTTCCGACAGTCCATTCCACTGATTTCCGTTAGTGCTTTCCAGAAAAATTCCAGCAAGTTTGACATTCTATTTTAAACTGACGTCCTCGATGATATTGACATTTCCATTTAATTCCCTCGCAGTGAAATTCTTTCTTCTTTTCTTAAAATAATTTTATGTTTTCTGTTAACATTTTTTGTGTGAGTTTATTAACTTTTCATTTATCATCAAACGGATAACGAGTAGGTGTAATATTTTTGGTGAATAATTTGCGCATAATCATAGAAATCTAAACAACGACGGCCGATTGCGTGATAGCGTGGAACATTTGCGAAAGTTTCTTACAATTAAATTAAGAAATATTTGTGTTAGCCGCACTGTTAAGTATGTCAAGTGTTGGCTAATTTCAAGCATATCAAATTGAATTACAGCTGCAGATACTCGTTAGCTGTTTTTATTGTGCCTTAAAAAACAATCGATAGCGAAAATTCTGTGCCTTATACATAGTACTAATTAATAAGACCAACCATAAATAGTGGGTTAATAAAGTTCTTCCGTGCAGGCGGCGGGCCAAATTCGTGTACGTGTACACTTATTCACATTAAAACCCCTCGACGAAAGGTAATACATAAAAATTATACATTTTTAGAAACCCAAAGCAGTGTATGGGGATAAAGATTGTGTAATTAATATGCAAATGGCCAACGATACTACAAAAAGGTGCGTGTGGCTGTCGCTGCTCCAGTAATAGCAACAACTGACTGAAGCGTTGTCGCCGGCGTCGACGCCGACTGATTACCATTGTTGGAAATCGTGTACGTTGGCGCAACAAGTCCAATTGTGGGTTGGTTGAATGTGTCTAGCAGCTAACGTGAACGTGAAAGGCGGATGATAGCAAACGACGGCGTCAACGAAGTTTACAACAACAAAAGCGACATTAGCGAATACAACGAACGACGCTGCGAAGCTAGAAATAACAAGTGCTTGTGCAGACCAAAGCAAGTCCAATTAGATAGCAATGCCGTTGAAATTTCTGAAAAAGTGTCGTCAATACAACGTGACTTCGAAGAGCCTGTTTGTCATCTCTGTGCATCATTTATTGGGTGAGTTTTTATTTTTGTGCACTGTACACATGTTTGTACATACATATATATATCTCGGTGGGGGTGTTAAAAGAAAAGTAATATGTAGGTAGTTGCCATAATTTGCTTCGAAAACACAAAAATTCTCAAATCTAGTGATTTGCACAACAATTTTGGGCTGCTGCGCCCAAACGCGTGGCTCGCATCAAAACATTTTTTATCACTTGTAGATAAGATTCAAAAAAAAAAAAAACAATTTATTAATAATTTCAGTCCGACAAAGGCTGTGCAAATAGCAGCCGCGATTTCCAGGGACAACTACAACACAAAACTATCACGTAGTCAATGCATAAAATTAGCTTCGGACTGGAACAGACCTTTTTAATACCGCCCACATCCTCACCAAAACTCGACCACCAATTTACTCATTTAGTGCAACAACACTCACTATAGAGCACATACTAACAGTATTTCCAAACTCGAAGATTAATAAAAGCATTAAAGACATCTGGATTATAAAAATAGAAACATCGAAGAAATAGAAAAATCATTCGAAATTCATCACCTCAATAATCAAATCTAACTAAAAGCGACATCAACAATGGCACTCAATGACCTAGACGTCCGGTGCTGACATTATACTTGGCAAATTTATTTTGCAAAATATGCTGATTAAATAAATAAATAAATAAATAAATACATAACTAAATAAATTTCGGTTTGAAATATGATATTTTTTTGCAAATTTCCGAGCTGAGTTGTCGAACACAAAATATATATATATAAAAATATATATAAAAAATAGTGAGGGTTATAATCCTTTTTCAAAAAATCCAAATTTCCCCTATTTTGAAACAGCTTTCAAGGGGTGTGTTTCGGGTGAAGGGGGAGCGGTAACTTTTCATAAAGCGCCGTCCATCCTCTTTTGTTTAGAGGGTTTGGGGGACACGCCCCATTCCCCTCTGCCCCTACCCAAAAACGTTGTACAAATAACTAAACATTCAATTGCTGATAAAATACACGTATGTACGTAAAATACTCGTAAAAATCATATAAAAATTTTTTGCCTTTTTTTTGACAAAAAGTGGCTTAAAAATTGACGTTCGATTGTGCGCTGCGTGATAAACGACTATTTGAAAATTCCAATTGCATGATAAACGCTCAAACGCCCCTTTGTAGTTAATCGACGCTGCGCAGTCAACGAACTTCAGTACTTCATGTTGTTGCATCAACTATATGTACGGTGACCATCCGTTCTGTTTTTTGCAGGACCGTACGGTTATTCAAAAGTCTGTTCAAAACAGAAAAACATCAAAATGTACTGATTTTTTCCCAGTGTCCTGCCTTTGTCCCGCATTTTATGCGATATTTTAAAATAAACAGCGGGAGTCCTTTACTTATCAACATAAAAAGAGTGTCGATAACTGATTGATAACTACATGAGGATGAGTTTGATTTTGAAGCTTCAACAAGTCAATGCCTTCAAAATTTTGTAAGGCCATAGACAATGGGTGACGACAAAATTAAGATCAGTATCAAAAATCCCAGTAACACTGCTCTAAAAATTTTGAGTTATAGCTTAAATCTAAGAAAGAAACGTTTTCCAAGCTAATTTTGGTTCGCTTAACACGTCAACAATACGCTATTATCTTTTCAACGAAGCGTTTTCGAGATTTTTTTTTTGTTTGTATTTTTCGGAGCTATTCGTCAATATCTCATGAAAAAATCATCCAATCAACGTAATGGCCCCACAGATGTGCCTTTTAAAAAAATATATAGCCTGTGCCGATCTCAATGAAAAGTGTTACAAGCGACCAAAGTCGAAAAAAGTTAAATTTTCAATCATTTGTCAAAATTTCACAGCTTTAGTTAATTATATTTTGAATAATTTTTATAATTCGATATAAAAGTGAAATCATAATAGTAAATTTTGAGCCTAAGCAGTAATGAAAATCGGATGAGAAATGTAAACGTTATGGCACATTCTGCACAAATTATATATTTATGTAAATGGAACACCAATACCTTTCGATCTATCATTCCCACGACAGCCTGTTCTACGTACCGGAATGACTCGGGTTTCACCCGACCAAGGGCTGTTGTTTCGGCGATCTAACCCCGTTTAGGTCGGCGAAGTATCTTAGAAGTTGTCCGCCCATAGGGCTACATTCACTACGTATTCTCCTACTCAGGGCTGGCATCGAGTCAAACCCTGGGCCAGAAACATACACCTGCTGTGTATGCCGATGACGATTACACCACAACTCCACCTCAGTCAAGTGTAATGCCTGCGAGGGGTGGAGTCACCTCAAGGTCTGCTCGGGACTACGGACACACAGACAGTGGACCACGTCGTACGTGGCCCCCTGTTGCTCAAACAGAGCAGCCTCCACGGCTAACCATAGTCCGCCCGAGCAGCCCCACACACTCACACAGCAGCCACACACAGTCACCACAACACAACAACATAATAACACCACAGACCATACCACAGCCACCACAGACCACATAACACACACAACGGCACCACCACCCACACGCCGCCGCCAACAACTCCTGGTTCCCCCTACAATCTGCACGGTATGTCAGACCAGGATATTCCGTAATGTGACATCAGTCAAGTGCAACACCTGCCTTGGCTGGTGCCATTTTAGGGCATGCTCAGGTCTGCGTACCACGCGAGATTGGACGGGGAACTTCGAGGGCCCGTGTTGCGCTGCTCGGTCGCAGGCTTCAATAGCGACGCCCCCCACCTCCACCACAGGGCGGCAATCACCTCAGCAGCACACACAGCCAACGGCGGCAAGAACATACACTTCACTTACACCTCACATCACGACACGTCTCCCGAACCACATGAAGCTCCTTCAATTCAACTGTAACGGGCTACAGAGCAAGATTGAGGAGATAACCGTCTTCATGTGTCGGCATGGTCCAAGAGACGAAGTTGCACAGCAATTCAACTTTGTTGAATTGCGCCGGGTACAACGTGCACCGTCGAGATCGCAAGCGAGATAATGGTGGTGGCTTAGCGTTCATCACGCACCACACCGTGCAGTATCCTCTTATCGAAGCAGACATCGACCGCAGGGATACCACCCTAGAATGTCAGGGCATCGCTATCCGGTCAGGCGATGTCGAGCTCGAAATATTTAACATATACATACCCCCTGTCACCTGCTGCCCGGCAGGATATCACCCTGATATAGGTGCGCTCCTCAGAGGTGAAAACCGTATGGTAGTAGGTGACTTTAATGCGCACCACGATCTTTGGCACTCAAGCCTGTCAAACGATCGTAGGGGAACAGACTTGGCTGAGCAGATAGACGATTCGACATTCTGCACAATGAACGACGACGCACCCACCAGGATTATGGGTAACTGCAGTAGCTCGCCAGACATCACAATAGTCAGCGCTGGTCTGATAAACAGCATAACGTGGCGACCTATGCTGACTCTAGCATCAGACCATCTACCCATAGTCATCTCGATTGATAAACCAACCGACTTTGCCTCCGCCAAACACCGGACCTATATCAACTTTTCTAAAGCTGATTGGAAAGGTTACGCGGAGTTTACCGAAAACACCTTCGCAGCGCTCCCCACACCAACCGTCGTCCATCTCGGTGAACGTAAGTTCCGCAGGGCTATCACTGCTGCTGCAGCTCGCTTCATACCGGCAGGATGTATATCGGACCCACGTCCAAACTTCCCTGCCGAAGCGGCTGTTCTAGCCGATGAGCGTGATAGCCTTCGTCAGGCCGATCCCGGAGATCCCCGTATCAGGGATCTCAACGCGGAGATTCGGCAACTTGTAAACGTACATAAGCGGAAGAAGTGGGAGGAGCATCTGAAGACTTGTAATTTCACCTCTGGTGTGAGCAAGCTTTGGTCAACCGTGAGGTCATTGTCTAATCCGACGAAGCACGACGACAGAGTCGAAATTTCCTTCAGCGACCATGCCTCGTCGGACCCGGAACGATGCGCGAGCTATTTTAGCCGGCAGTTCATACTGCATCCTCCGGTGGACAAAGCCAAGCGTCGAGTGACCAGAAGGCTGCACAAACTGCCAACAACTTGTGCCGCCCTTGCTTTCACTTGCGGTGAAGTTCAGGTGGCCATCGGGAAGGCGAAAGCCTCCAAAGCCATGGGTCCCGACGGAATATGCATGCTGATGCTGAAAAATTTGGGTCCTGCGGGGGTAGCGTACCTAACGGAGGTCCTCAACCTGTCAATGGCCACTCTCATCATCCCAGACATCTGGAAGGTGGGGAGAGTGGTCCCACTGCTCAAACCGGGGAAACCCGCCAACAAAGGAGATTCGTATCGTCCGATTACACTCCTTTCCCCGGTAGCGAAGACACTTGAGGCCTTGCTACTCCCGTACTTCACAAACCACCTGACCCCAGCGAAGCATCAGCATGGTTTCCGTAAAGTGCACAGTACAACAACAGCACTTAACGCCATAAACACTCAGATAACTCGTGGCCTTAACCGCAACCGTCCCTGTGAGAGAACGATTCTAGTAGCGTTGGACTTGTCAAAGGCGTTTGACACCGTCTGCCATTCCACGCTGCTAGAAGATATAGAGGCCTCCTCTCTCCCACAGAAGCTCAAACGGTGGTCGGCAAATTATCTGAGTGGTCGACATTCGTCGGTAACATTTAGAGACAAAACGAGTAAGCAGCGAAAAATAAAACAGGGGGTTCCTCAGGGTGGTGTCCTTTCCCCGCTACTGTTTAACTTTTATAGTTCAAAGCTCCCTCCACCACCAGAGGGAGTCTCGATTGTCTCCTATGCCGACGACTGCTCGATCATGGCGACTGGGAATGGAATTGATAACCTGTGTTTGAAAGTAAACGGCTATCTCTCCGAACTTTCTCGCTTCTTCACTGCAAAGTGTCTAGCCCTCTCCCCTACGAAATCCTCCGTGACCCTGTTCACAACCTGGACGAAGGAGGTCAGGCTACCGCTGGGGATTCACGTCGATGACACACCAATTCCGACGGTGAATAACCCCAAAATACTCGGAGTAACATTCGACAGCCTGCTCTCCTTCTCTGCGCACTCAACCGCTATTGTCAATAAAGTACAGAGCCGCAACAAGGTCCTCAAGTCGCTAGCCGGCAGTACTTGGGGCAAAGACAAAGAAACGTTGCTGGCAACATACAAGGCAATAGGCCGGCCGGTTTTGAACTACGCAGCGCCAGTGTGGTCGCCAGGGACTAGTAGGACGCAGTGGACGAAGCTACAGACGGGACAAAACACGGCACTTAGGACAGCGACGGGATGCCTCCTGATGTCGCCAGAACATCACTTGCACGGCGAGGCGCAAATGCTCCCAGTTAAGGAGCACAACATAATGCTCTGCAAGCAGTTCCTGATAGGGAGCCACAGAAGTGGCCACCCAAACAGACAGCTGCTTGCAGAGGAGCCCTCGCCTAGGCACGTCAGGAGGCATCTATATGAACTGACGGACGAAGTCCAGAGGTTCATTAAGCAACCTCTGGACCCGACAGCGTACAGACAGGCCCTGAACGGCATTCACAGGGACTCAGTCTCGAGTTATGTAGACTCTAGACCTGTGAATGCCGTTCTAGGCATACCACCCCCGGACATTGACGAGACAGAGCTTCATCTGCCTCGGGAGACACGCACTACACTTGCCCAAC